GGGGAGGAGTTTAGGGCAGAACTAACATCTGGAAGCTGAGGAGGGGGCTAGAATGAATGACAGGGAAGGTTCTAGGGAAAGGGGCAGGGAAAGGGAGGATTGGGGGGGGGGAAACAGATATTAAACAAATATCAAATGAAAGAAAAACACACCACCGCAGACAGGAACATCTCCAAAAGGGCAATTTGCTGTGTCATGCATGATTCCAGATCCTTTTCTGATGCAGACCAGAGTGATTAAAACTCTCACAGAAGCTCACCAGCTGACTCTATGGCTTTCTCTTATGCTCAGAACCAAGGTGCCTGCATCTGTTCAATACCTTCTTCCATGTCATGTTAGGAGTTCTGCCTAAGGGACCAGAATTATGTTCTGAAAAAAATGTCTTCCATAAGGAACCTCAGCCTCTCAAAGCCAAAAGAGTTCCTTACACCCATCTTAATGTCCCTTTGTTCTCCCACAGATCCTTCTAAAACTTGCCACAGCCTACAGAAGAGTATGAATCACAACTCTCTATTATGCTAATAAAAACTATCCACTTCTTCTTGTGTTGCCATGTCCATCCACACCCACCAGTGCTGTCTTGCCTCCAAATGCAATTATATCTTTCTGTGGCAATGAGACAAGATTTCCTGTCTGGTTGGACAAGACACTAAAAGGATGAACATAAACAAGTAGCTGTGGCAATTAATTCTTGATCTCTGGGCCAAATATCACCCCAGACTGATGAGAGCAAAACACAGGTATAAATGTACTGCTGGGTGCACTGAAGGAGGTTGCTTTACTGCTTGAGGTTTAGCAAGGACAGCAGTGATGCTGCAAGATTGTTTCCAAGCCATTTCAGCAAGAAAATATGAAGAAAAGTCCATCTGGGGACCAGAAAAAAAAAAAATCTGATGCAGTATGCAGAATAAAATTCTGAAAATATTTTCATTATTAAGAAGAGCTGTGAAAATCGCAGAGAAAAAAACACAAACCAGCAAACTAAAGGCAGAACCCTTTAGTAAGGCACAACTACATGTTAGATTGCCAAGTCTTGTTGTGTGCCCTTGCCACGTTAGGAAACA